TCCATGATGTATAGGGATATTATTAGTTCTAACTGCAAACTTATTTTAGAAATATATGACTGGATAGCTGTTATAAGGACATTTCAGCTTTTGCTTTGGGATAGCCTATCTCCAACAGACCTTCGACAAGAAGGTCTGACCCTATCAGAATATATTTCTCCAACTTTAATGACGAAGCAATTCTGTTGAACCTGTATCAATATGGTAAACCTGAAGCTGGAGGAATATAGTCTAAATTAAAATTCCTGCAATTATTTATTGTAGGAAGTGGTCCAGACAAAGAAAATGGAGCTCATTAGCATTGGTTCACTCATTTATGTGTTGGCACCAGCCCTGCTAAACCAGTTAACTGAAGATAGAAACTTGGGGCTCATCCAGTCAGCCACTTTAATATGCTTGTTTCCAATCCACATGCCAGCATAAAGTATCCTGGCAAAATTTGCTCTCTCCTGACAGCTGTGCTATAATCTATCTCAGTGATGAAACCTGTGAGCAGTTGTGTGTTTATGTTTGGTATGTGACAAGGTAAGAAAAATAATGGGTGAATTTCCTACACATAGTAAAAATAACCATCAGTTGCTGCCCTTAACATGGAATGGGGCTAGGGAGAGGTGAGTTTTGACAAAGGATGTAATCCATGGATTTAGCTATTTGTCCTAACCTGATCTTCAGGAATAGAAGTCTTTCTGCCTTTCTTCTTCCTTTTACAAGAAAGCCAAGCTCTGCAGCCAATTCGCAGGGTGGAAAAGGGTTTTCCAGCCCTGAAGAAGAAGTTGCCCTATTACAGTGATGGCAAACCTTTTAGACACCGAGTGCCCAAACTGCGTGCACACGCGTGCCCAAACTGAAAGGTGCACGTGTGTGTGAAGGTGCAAATGTGCAAATGCGTGCATGCAGACATGTGCATGCACTGACATGCCCTTGTGCATGCACGCATACGCAGCAGAGACCTGAAGACCAGCGTGAAGCAGGGCATCCCAACACTGGCAACGCAGCAAATGGTAAGATCTTTTTTTTTCGTGAGCTTCTGTTTCAGCGTTTGCAGGGAAACAGAAGCTCACAAAAGAAATGCCACGGAATCTGACCTGGGGCCACGGCATGCATGGCAACAGAAAGGGCTTTGCGTGCCATCTCTGGCATGCGTGCCATAGGTTCATCATCATAGTCCTATTACATTAAGGAGACCTCTATCCACCCCAGAATTGATCCTTCTTGTGCTCTTTTTCATTTCCTCTCATTCTGTTTCTTGTGCTCCTTCTTAGTCTTAGTCTCTCTTGTTTGATTTGTCTTGCTCTTTCATGCCCTTTTTTTCACTCTCTGTCTCACCCTGTCTGAAAACAGCTGATGGGTAAGCTGTTTGTAGGCTCCAGCAGATGGACTCCCCACTCCTGCCATTTTTGTTCATCCTCTCTGCCACTCTATCATGAGCAGAATGGCAATCAAAAGCTGCAGTAAAAAAGGGTCTGCATTACTCTACTTTCCTATGTATAGGCTCTAAATAGCAAACATAAAGTCACTGAACAAATGAGAAAAAAAAATATGATTAGGCTCGGAAAGATCCTCTCCTCTTTTCTCTTTGACGGTTAAATCCTCCCCAGGGAATTGTCAGGCTGAAACGTATGGCTGTGTATGCAGCGCTTGGAAGAGGCCAATTAGAGATACAGGTAGACCCCCCATCCTCTACTTCACCTCAGTGGTTTTTGAAACACCCAAAGTTGTGCTTAGAGCAAGGCTTTTGTTGGGTGAAGGTGGAGAGCACCACTTCAATGTCATATCAGGTAAAAGCAAAATCAGGCCACCTCAGCCATGGTTAGGGAGGCATCTTCAAGCACTGTTAAGACACACAGATGAGTCTTTGTAATATAGAAATAGATACTGGATCAAACTTACAATCAGTAAATTTTAGGCTATTTTTTTCTGTCGATGCAAGATGGCATTTAACATTTTGGATTTTTATGTGTCTTTGGCTCAGGGTGAGAAAGCTGTGTCTAGTTCCATAGTGGGTACAACACAAAAGAGAGGGTTGTTGATTTTATTCTTTCCTGGTGAAATAAATGTCAGGAGGTTTTGAGCCATAAAAATGACTTCTGTTGTGTCCTGGCAAGCTGAGACTTTCATACTGCAATTGCTACAGCAAAGAATCCAAATTCTGCAGAGCCACAGTGACCTTTTCCAAAGATACTTTCTCATGGGAATTTGAGGCCTAGTTAGAAACCCAAATCCACATATGGCTGACCTTTTTGCATTTTGGTGTGAAATATGACCTTCCATTACTGCTTGGGGGTTCTGCGCATTTTCAGCTTGGTGTGGGGCCAATATTGGCAAATTGTCATTTGCAACATAATTCTTGCTTGAACAAGAAGAGTTTTCTGCCCTTTTCAAGCCAAAGAAAGATCATAGCATCTCTATCGTACAAACACACATGGCAGTCAGAAGGACTTCTGCCCAAGCTACACAACCATTTTTGGCTTTTGAAAGCACTTATGACTGATCTTCGGAAAAAGAATTAAATGTGATACACAACACTTTTATGTAGAGTTTTATACATTTCATATTGTGCTTCTAACAGCAGCAACACGTTTCCAGCTCTCTTGTGGAGCATTAGCAGGCTTGAATTTATACATGTATGTGTTGCTGTGCATTTTCTAAGACAAGTTTTTGCTAAGTATCAAATAACTGCAGTATGCAGTTATTTTGGATTTATTCTAACTGTACCAGGAAAAAAGTCATCCTATAATATCTCTTAAAAGGTTTGTTGCTAGACAGGATACTTTATCTCACTTAGCAAAGAACAAAATAAGTTTAAAATTAGCAAATGCTTTACATAGTCTTCTAATTCCCACCCATCCCCGTCTGTCACTGTTGCTTCAACAGTTGCTTTTTAAAGGATCTAACTCACAATTAATACATTTTTATTGTTGCTATATTGAGAATAAAGTGTTAACGGAAAATTGGGGAAGGAGAGTGTGCAATTGAGAAACTAACTAATTCAACTTGAGGTTTCCTACAAAATATATTTCTGTACGCTTAAGCCTCCTTGCATCAGCAAAAACATTTTTCTGAGTTATGGATTACTCCATCTACATTCAGACTGTAAAATCAACAGCTGACAGACTCAAATATAAAAAGGGGGATGAGGTCTGTGTTCATGTTTTCCATAGCTTTCAGTCAGCCTGACTCCAAAGATAAGTCTCTGTAGTTTTTCTTGGCAACATTTTTGAAAGTAGACTTACTACTTACTGCCTTCTTCCAAGGGGAGGGGAAGGGAGAGAAAAAGAGAGAGACTGACTAGCTTGCAGTACCCCAGTTGGTTTGGATGTCTAAAGCAAGACTAGAACTCAGGTTTTTCTGCTTCTAGTCTAGTGCCTTAATAGCCAGACCTAACCCGCTATCTCTGTATCTTTAGGTTTCTTTTAAAATAGTCACAAAGACCGCAACTGCAGCAACTGGGGAATGGGGAAAACCAAAACCAAGGATAGATCTTTCTCTTTTCTGACCATATTACTGATATAGATTCTTTCACCAGCTGCTGTTTACCTAAATGGGGAAATATGTGTGATGGCTGTATATATTTTCCAAAATTGTAGATTGCAAGAGAGACAAGGGCAAGTGTGTATGTAAAAACAGTAGGGTCAGGGTTAAATTCCTTATCATCAGTGCTTCAGTTCTGGTCCAGTTTGGGATCCTCATGGCTGCTTTTATTTTGTATCACATTGTGAACTGATGCAAGATAGGAATACAATTAGGCAGCAGTTAAGCACGGTTCATTGGGGTGTGGGGGGGAGAACCTCTGCATTGGGATGTTGGTTGTTCCAGGAAGACATTGATGGTCTCATTTCAACACTCTTAAGTCAGTTCTGGTGACTGAACTCTAGTTCAGAGTTCAGGGCCAAAACAAGAAACCAGCTCCAAAGTTCTGGTTACTATGAATCCTGTATGAATCTGGTTTACTTCCAGCCAGAGCCATCTGCAGGATATGGTTAATAAAAGAATCATCACAACAGTACCACATTAAAAACAGAGAGACCTGATGGTGCAGTGCTTAAAGTCCAATATTGCAGGCAAACACTGCCCACAGCCTGGAGTTCGATCCTGATAAGAATCAAAATTGACTCTGCTTTCCATCCTTCAGAGGTCGGAAAAATTAGGACTCGTGTGTGTGTGTGTGTGTGTGTGTGTGTGTGTGTGTGTGTGCGTGTATCAGTGAAAACACAAGATATAGCAATGATTTGTTGAACTGCAAGACCATGGAGGTGCATAGATGAAGTTGAAAGACATGCTGCTTGCATTTAACTACTTAGCAGTGGAATTTAAGAGATGTTTCTTAGATTAAATTAAGACCAGTGATAAAGCTGGATATTATAGCTGTCTTGCCTACTCAGAGTAGCAATGATTCCATTAATTTTGAACAATGTGACTTTCTCAGAGCTGCTGTTTCAAACTTTTTTTGTTGGTAATGGGAAGCATTTTGTGCTGATAGTGCTTTTTATGGGCAATAAAGTGAGTGGTACAGAGAACAATTTGTGAACAGGGGATTAAACCATGTTGATCATATAAGTTAAGCCAGTAGCAGGATTTAATTTTTAATATTATATCTGCTCTTCTTTGAATATGTAACTATATTTGATGCTCATGCTTTATTAGGGTTGGGGAATACTTAGAAATCCTGTAGTTAAATATTAATTCAATATACAAACACAAATGCTCCAGTCCCTGAGATGTGACCTTAATTAAACCTTAGTGAATTCTCATATGTGATTTGGTTGCCATCTCCCAGGCTTATATGTGGATTAGTTTTTACTAACCAGCAGGTTTTCTATTTCAACGTTATGCGTCTTTGAAATAGTACTAAAGTGCAGTCTAATATGTTTACTGTGATATAAAAGGCTTAGAAAAGCATATTTCAAGGGGAAAATAATTTAAGATAAAGTTCTTGTTGAAACTGAAATGAAACTTCTTAATAATCAAATGTACTTCTGTTTGTTTCCCAACTTCTACAGTTACTGGCTAACCAACAAAGTTTACATCAAGCGACCCAGCACTGGACTCCTTATGTATACCCTCGCAACGAGGTTCTGTGATGAAATTCACCTTTATGGATTCTGGCCCTTCCCAAAGGATATAAATGGAAAACCAGTCAAATATCATTATTATGATGACTTAAAGTACAGATACTTTTCAAATGCCAGTCCCCATAGGATGCCATTAGAGTTTAAAACACTGAACATGTTACATAATAGAGGAGCACTTAAACTGACCACAGGGAAATGTATACAGCAATAATGCACTAGTCAAGTATCAAGAGAAATACAGGAAATTCAGATTTTATAGAACAGCAGTGGGATCCAAGCAGTGGATATAGCCCAGTGCACTGTACCAAGCCATCAGAACATAAGGAAGTGCATCAAGTCTCTATTACCAGCTGTTGTTTTACCTGTTGAAGTGCTAAATCTTGAGTGCAATGTTTCAAGTAAGTGCCACTTTTCCTAAGAACAAATCTTGAATGTATACAATCAGTAGTGTTTACAAGATCCAACAATGCATTCATCTCTTGTTAAAGAAGCAAATGATTTGCTCACTGCTCATTTGCCTCCGCACAAAGTCCAAAGGAATACCCAGGCATTGAAACGAAGTGAAGTCGAGGTGGAATTTGGAGAGCAGTGGATCATATCTCAAAGATCAAACAAGACATCTTGGTCGGAGGAATGCCTAACTTTGTATTATAACCTCTTCCTCTTTTTCTTTCCTGTTTTTCAGATTGTCATGCATTTATCATAGTGTTTGGGTATTGGAACTCTGTAAGGGATTTTAAAAAGACAATAATATGAACATTCTAAGTGAACTTCAAGAAGTGGTCTTAGAGGAATGTCTTATTTAAAAAAAAACAAAAAACGAAGTCAAAATCGATATTGTATCATCTTGTTCAGCTTAACCTTAATTAAAGTCAAAACTGGCTCCATGGGAAGGCTTGTTGATGCTGTGGTATGCAGAGCCATTCCCCTGGTTTTGCAGGTCACAGAAGGTACTCTACGGTAGCCTTAACCACTGACAGGAAGATGTGGTGCTGGCAAGAATGATACTTAATTATAAATCCTTCTTTTAGACAAAGTGGATGGTGGAAAAGTCCTCTTAGAGAGACTGTTTTGAGCAGTATTTTTTTTAAAAAAGTATAATTTGAGTATTAGGGCTTAAGAATTTCCCAGTTGCTTTATGTGCCACGCAGGGTCGCCGTATCAGTGAGATGTGCAGCATAGAAATTTAATAATAATAAAAAATGTGCTTCTGTTGGAGGGATTGATAAATACATGTTCAAATAAAAAAACATTCTTCCTGGTTTGTTCTGTTTTAAAGAAAAAGCAGTTGTAAGATCCTGATCCAGATGGTATGTTTCATATCGGGGCTCATGCATCTATTCTCAATTATTTTTTGCCTCAGACAGCAGCAACCGAAGGAAAAATTTTCAAACAGAGGCTGGCTTATACCCTGAAATCCGAGAGGGAACATGTTCTGGCTCAGGGCTTCGTATGGTTTTGACTTCAAACTGTCATTTTGAAAACAACTATTTTAAGCATGTTTTTAAAGCACATTCATGATAATAAATCATATGGTTAAGGTCAGGAGTATGGGGAGACGATGACAAAGGGTAAGGTTTTGATTGTGTGGCTGCAGCCACAATATTGACGTTTTTTGGACTGTTACCGCTTCTGCCATGGCCTCTAATAGACAAGTTAGATGGAGAAGAAATCCATGTAGTTTGGCCCTATGGCATAAATTAATCATCTTCAAAGCATTTCATATTTTGAGCAGTTATTAAAGCAAGATTGTTTCCTTGTATGGCATATGAAAAGAATACCATTAACAAGCAGGTGCCCTTACATTTGGTACCAAAGATTATGCTGATTTTTGTAATTGATGTATTTATTTACCTTGTATTTACAAAAACATGTACATTTAGTGCTATCACTGTGTTGTTGTACTGCTGAGGAAATTGTTTTCAATCATCTCTGTTTCCGTTAACTTAGTAGTTAGATTCTGTTCAAATGACAAATTCCTTAACTTGTCTTGGGTCTGTTTTTGAATATTTTATTGAATATTGAATATTTTATAAACAGCAAAACGGAGTCTTCTTCCTTCTTAATTAGAATGTGCCCATAACTTTCATTAATCAAAATAGGATAATAGAAATAATGAAAAGGACATTAATATTTATTTCAGATTCTGTACTGGCAGCTTTCCCCACTATTTCTAGTTTCTTTACAGTATATTCACTATAGTGCTGGACAATATCCCTGGTTTTTTTGACCTAATAGTAATCTGATAAATAGTAAATGAAAAACCTCACTGCTGAGTTACTTTGCCTTTCTGCTTTATAGAAGCTTCCTTTTCTACTACAATTTTGAAGAATTCTATTGTTGCACTTTGCTTCGAAAGGTTTTCTAAAGAATGATTTAACAGAAGCGCTAGCGTCAAGCAGGGTTGTACACAGAATAGCTGCAAACCTTAGTATTTGAAGCACATTTAATGACTGGTGTCAAAATTGCTACAGGGTGAACAGAGTACTTATTTCTTTGTCTCCTCATTTATCTCCAATTTCTAAATAAGAGCAAAAGGAGAAAACCGCTGAAAAGCAAACACAGAATACACTTTAATTGGATCTTATGAAATAGAACATATAAGGAAGAATGGGCTGTGGATGTCATTTTCTCACCAATGGAAAAATCATGCACTTCTACGAGAACCTTCCAGGTCTTAAGTTCTATTCTCACATTTTTCCTTTCTGCCTACCTATTTGTGCCTACATACATACATACATACATACATACATACATACATATACATACATACATACATACATACATACATACATACATACATACATACAAGATGGTCACAGGGCTGCTGAACCATCTATTTTATGGTTTGACTTCATTTCTGGCTTAAAACCTACCTTATTAAAATCAGATATTCATCTCTTCCACTTACTAATGAACTGCCAATGCATCACTGTCTTTTCAGAAGACCATAAGAGAAACTTTGATGGATCATACAAATATTCTGTCTAATCCAGCATCCTGTTTTTCATAATAATGTCTTTGGAAAGCTCACTGACATTTGTCCTCTCCTATAACTTGCTGTTCTTTCTCTTCTTTTTGATTAAGGCAAGGATGAAGTTATTTGAGCTTGATAAAGTGGATGGGAAATGTAAACAATTCACAACAACGTGTTGTTTGTGTTACTGAGCTTGAGTAGCTGGCTTGTGAGAAATGTATACATGCCAATGCTAAGAATTTAGCTATTGTTGCTTTTTCATTCGAAAAAGTATTTAATTCCTGAAGTATTATTTTAACTGGTAGCTATTTTCTTTTTCTTGTTCTAAAAAAAACCAAACAAAACAAATTTGTTGAAGTGATGTTGCACAAACTTTTATTTTGATGAAGCATTAAAGCTAGCAAATTATACTCTTGTTCACTCAGTAAATAAGATTGATCTTCCTAACAAAAGAAGTTTAATTTGTATTTATGGTTATTTACAGTATAAGCTCGCTTGTTCGCAATACAGTGAGAAAATAAACACATTAAAATAATTAAACAACAAGAATCGATTGTTGTAGGATTTTTCTTTTTAGTTTATAAAAATGTAAAAGGGTATATTTTGCAGGCTGCAGTACTCACTTTATTAAGAATGATGCATGCATTTTTAAAAAATGCAATTTTTGACAGAATAGACTATACATTTTAAAATTTACAGGCAACCATCTTACGGATGTTAAGACTAGTGCCTTTATAATCAACTTACTTTATCTTGAATATTAACACTCACTTATCACTGGTTTGTACTATTCTTTCCTTATACAAGCTATTTCAATATGTCCTATATGCTTAATATATTATAAAGAAAGGGCTAAAAATACTGATTAAAACCCATTTTATGTTTTTCATCTCAGGGAAATTTAATTTTTCCAAATCAAAAAAGAAGAAAGTTAGAATTAAAAAAAGATTAATATATATTGCTACATTACACAATTTTAAAAAATCAACTGTTCTTCATTATAAGATATTAAAATCCTATGTGTAAAATAAGCGTCATTGAAGACAGTAAATACATAAACATTGCTAGATTTGGACTATAAAAGAACAAAACAGAATAAACCTGCTAAGTTAAAAATAATTAAAAGTGATTAAAACTATCAGAAAGTTTCTTAAGACCACAATACCTTCAGAGCCTTATATGCATTTCCTCTATTATGTTTGAAATTATTTACAAATAAATTGACATCTCTTCTTTATAGACGGTGTCAACTTGCTCATCTTCCTCTCTTATTTTATATATGATAAATTCAACTCCTAGAACTGCCTTGCCTCTTCTTGATTGTCAGATTCTGCAGCTCTTGAGGAAAATCTGCCTGATGTTTTTGTCCTGGGTTTTGCTTTTTATATGAATTGAAATGAAGATTGCTTTGAAATTTCTATTATTTGTTTAAATGCAACTCCTACAGCAAGTTTTTCCTTTATGCAGACCTACATTGTCAATTATAACTTTTGAGAAGAACCACCACTTAAAATCTAGAATTGGAGATGCATAAAATATGGTGACATCAAAGACATCAAATTTTAGACAGGACTCTAAAATTAAAGACTTAAAAACCATTGTTATAAAAAAATAAAAAAAGACTGTCAAGCTCATGAGGTAATGATATTGTTAATGGGACAATCTCCTGAAATTTCAATAATTTTTAATTGAGAAAATTTGACTAGAGCTCCAGGAGAAGAAAAGGTAATCAGAAAACATACAAGAAAATTTTGGCCATACATACTAATAATGCATTGACATAATAGGTAATATCTTTTCAGATCCTTATGAAGAATAAATTAAAGTTTCTCTTCATTTTTGCTCTTTTCCATACCATGTTTTAACTGCCAGGATTTTGGATGAATAGACTAATATTTTTCCCATTATTATTGCCCAGCACTATATCCAACAGATATCCAGGTGCAAAATTAGATCACTTGATGCAAAATCTATGGAGAAACCTTAAATTATGAAATTAGAAAGGGAATTTGTGTTCATTCAAGAATGTTTTTCCTATGAATGTAAATCATAAATCAGTGTTTATAAATTGGGGGTTCTGTTAGGAATTCTATAGTTTCTGAGATTAGTGATGATAAATGTACAATGAAATCTCATTTAAGTGGACTAATAGGAATTGGGAGTTATTAAGAAATATCCATTAAGTTAGAGATTTCTCATAGACCATATGTAAATGATGAAAATTTATATTATTTGCATAATGATTACTATTATGCAAGTGATGTTAATGTGAAAAGTTCCTCCATTCCACGTAAAAACTATTTCATCAAGATCCAGTTAATTATGGTTTTTCTGTTCTTGTTTTTTTTCCTTGGAATATTCTCCCTCTTATATTCTGTTAACTAAAGGTAAGATCTTTTCAATGTTTCCTTTAGTTTGTGGTCTGTCTGATATATCCAGAAAAAAGTTTTACAAAATTAAAAACAATTAGTTGAATCTAGATTAAGTCATGCTTACTTGAAATTGATGCATTAAAAGCAATAGAAGGCAGGATAAGCTTGATTCACAATTTATTGCAAATTTGGTCAACTTAAACATTTTCCAAACTTATAGGCTGATTAAAATTCATGCGTATTACAGTTTCCATACATTTTTATGAAGCCGCTTAAAAAAAAAGGTTATGAAAATACACGCTAGGAATATAAGACACTATATAATGCCTATATTGGAAAAGTTCACCATATTGGCAACTGAGAAGAAAATACATGAATTATTTGCAAAAATGCATATATTACAAAAGCTGTGGCTAAATATAGTAGAAAATTTTGCAAGGAAATGTAGCAATTTTAATACTTTAGAAAATTCAGAAACTGGTGCAAGAAATAAAGTAATAAAAAAGAGTAATTTGATAAAATTTTATATTTGTTGATTTTAAATAGCAATGTATAGAAACTTGAAAATATTTCAGTGTTGGTTAAGTTAAATTCAAAGCATGTTTGCATCAGTTTCTGAATTTTTTAATGAATAAAATATTGTCCAAAATTCATGCTTTTCCATATCATATATTCCTTGTATATTAAATGCTCTTTTTTTGCAAATAATTTCTCCATATGGTACTATATGGGTTTCTGAATAATTTTATTTTGTATGTGATGTTCAATTGCATATTATCCTGAAAAATTCTAAAAGCACCAGGTACAACACAGATATATTCAATTTTATGTTTAACCTTTACTGAGAAGCTTATATAATTCTAGTCAAACACATTTCTCCTTCATTCCTAACTATAATTAATTAACACATTCATTTTTTTCTAAGCATGTCTTAATCAGTAACCTAGCCAAAGGTATTTGTGAGGTGTGCAGTTTAAACTGAAATGATCATATTTTATAGATAGTTTTCAATTCGTAGATATGACACATAGACACTCAAATTCTTGATAGCAACTCTTAAGCTGGGTCTGTGACTTTGTTGCCAGTTGAAATTACCATTGAATTTACCAAATATAAAAGTTGTGTAATTATGTTGGAAACCAAGGATTATGTTGTAGTCCAGTGAATGGTCCTCTATTAAGAAAAATAAAAACCTAGCAGGGTTTGAGGGACATTTTTTTTTTTTTTTTTGCATTCAGTACGTACGTTTATTGTCCTCCCTGAGGCATATCACTCTTATCTTGATGTGAAATGCCTCAGGGAGTGAGTATATCTATCCCCATCTAAAATATTGCAGTAAACTTGCTCTAATGGACTTGATCAGCCCTTCTGCTTTAATGGAAGAACTGCCATTTTTGCCAAATAAACTACTCTGGCACTTTGAAGGAAAGGAGATTCACTAGAATCTTTATTGAAGGAAATTACCTTTTCAAAGATTTACACAGCATTCAGTATACCTTTCAACCTCTCACAGGAACAATTCCATCTACTCCCTCTTTGGTTTTGTGCAAAGGAAGTCAGCCAATGGAGTTTAAAATACAAATCACCCAAATTTTTTTGATTATAACTGAGTCTCAAAGCTCCAAATGCCATCCATAAAGTTACAGGGGAAACAGGCATCTCTGTTTCTCTAATGGGAATGAAAGGGTCCATGCCACACTGGAACTCTGCAATTTTATCCTTTTTTTCTTCCCTGTCATTATTTCATCCTATGAAAAAGCACTGTTGTCCTAAATCGGCAAAAGCACAATTGTTTTAACTGTATATATTAGAGGAAGGATATTTGCAGAAAATGCCTTCCTAAACAGTACTACTGCTATTAAACTTGCAGGTCTCATTTGTGTGCACTGTTGAGATGTATTCTGTCAGGATCATCTTGTTTAATGCAGTTTAATATTTTGTGTATAGGAGTTGCTGTTCAATTCTTTGTTACTTGTACTTGTAAAATAAAGTCAATTTCTTTCCTTTTCCAGTCCTTTTGTTTGCTCAATTGGGCACTTGGATGGCATTAGTAGATTTTTTGTGTGTGAAATAGCGAAAAATGTTGTAAATATAATACTTGGTAGAGTTTTAAGACAATTGATCCAGTGAAATTCATACTCAGCATTCTCTAATTCAGAATGCATGAAATATTTTGCACATCTCCAATATCAAGATCCAGTCTTGATACATTTTATAGGATGCCGTTCATTTATTCATATGTAAATGTCAGTGTGATTAAAAGCCTTTGCTAGGTTTCATTTTTATAGGCGCTGAATGCATTAAACTAAAATTTTAATACATGTGAGAATTCATTGACAAGTAATTTAGCCTCTCCTTTGAACATTTGTTTAGAACACTTTATTCCAATTTTGCAGATAAGGCTTTCAAAACACAGTGGTTGTTCAGTAAATATATGCTAAATATTGCAGTGCAATGCTCAGCATGCATGTAAGACAACTTGTAGCTACAGGAGGAATACGAAGTGGTAGAAGAGTGGAGAGTGAGGGTGACCAAAGTAGATTGTTAAAAAGGTGCAGAGAAAAGGCCTTCTCTGTGGGAGCCCCTGCACTTTGGAATGAACTCCCCCCAGAAATTCGCAAAATCTCTGATCTCCGTGTATTTCGCTGTGCCCTCAAAACCATGTTGTTCTGCCAGGCTGGGCTATCAATATAAAGATTTTAATTGGTTTTAAATTGGGTTTTTAAATTCGGGGTTTTATAAATTGGGCCTACTATTTAATAATTTTAATTATTTTTAAATATTGTCTGTCTTTGTGTTTTTAATGAGGCTGTACACCACCCTGAGTCCTTCGGGAGAAGGGCGGTATAGAAATTAATTAATTGAATGAATGAATGAATGAATGAATGAATGAATGAATGAATGAATGAATAAATAAATAAATAAATAAATAAATAAATAAATAAATAAATAAATAAATAAATAAATAAAAAGAAAGCAAAAAACAAATGTGTGCAAGGAAGCCCTGGATGAAGAGCTAAGGTGAAGACTGGTTATAACAGTGAAGGCGAATTTGTCCACTCCACCTCACTTCTGTATTTTGTTCCTGCTGTACTTTCACAACAAGCACAGGAGTACCCCACATGGGATTCATTATAGTAGTCTAAACATGAGTTTGACAGTGCATTAGAGGTGGGATTCACTTACCTTCCCTACCGGTTCGCAAATGTGAGTGCACGCACCACCTTCCATGCATACTCAAGCCTTCGGCGCATGTTCTTTGCTCGCGCATGCGGCCTCCAAAATGTGGCTAAATAGGATGGCAATATGTGCGGGTGGGCGGGGCCTACTTGCCCAAACCGGACAGAACTGGCTGAATCCCACCACTGCAGTGCATTAACATTGGCTGGCTATGTCTGTCAAGGAACGGTTACAGTTGTTATACAACCAAAGTTAACAATGAATAATTTGGCACACTGCAGCCATGTGGGCCCTTGGTGAAAACCTTAGGAACACCACCAATTGAACAAATTCTCTGAAGGAATGCAATCTAGTTTAGAAAAGCAAACTAAATGCCCGTATTCAAGGTCTACATGCCTACATGTTTTTTGTTTGTTTTTATCAGGATTCAGTCTCAATTTCCTGGTCTTCAACATTTCACTGCATTCAGACATTGATTTAGAATAAGAACAATCACTTTTGGTTCAATTGTGATAGATCAAACTCGGTAACATCAGCTCAATCCCCAACTGATAAAAATACCCCAGCAAATTCATAAGGATATTAAATAACACTGGGGATTAAACAGTAGGGCATTGCACAATACAGTTGCCAATCTTACTTCTATGTGCACTTTTTTGCATTTTCTCATATATTTCTGTTAAAATTCTTCACATTTGCTGTCTAAAGGGCAAAGTGTCTAATTTTAGTATGTATGTATATTTATTTTATCAGATTTGTATATCTGCCCATCTCCTACAAAGGGAGACTCTGGGTGGTAGACAATAATAAATAGGCTCATGTCACCTGAAAAGTACTTAGTCTGCAGATGCAGTAAGGGCAGAAAAGTACTGGCACTTTGTCATCCTTATCTCCACAAGGTAAGTCTTAATAGTGGCTCTAACCTGTGTTTGGTTGAGTTGTTTGTTTGTTGAGTGCCAGCAACGCTATAGACATCTCTTTTCCTACTTCATCTCCCTCAGTGTCTGTAAACCATGGTGAGTGCCGGGACCCCCAAAAGAAGAGTGATATGGATGTGACTTGAACCAAGGGTTCAGTTGCCCCCTTATTCAAAGCATCAGAGATACCATATGGCAGGCCTGCAGTGACAACCCCGAGGTCTCTTGAATGATGTGGGATAGGCCCAGGATTGTCATGGAAGCCATGAAATCCTTATTCACCTCAGACTCCATTCACAGGAAAGGGAGATTAAAGTCCTCCAAAACTATTAGTCTAAGGAACTCCACTGCCAGCCCATAAATGGCATCAAGAAGTTCAGGCAAGCATGTTACTATGCAGCAGGGAGACTAGTATAGCAACCTTCTAACTGATCCCTTGAGCCCAACTTAAGACTTGTGGAACCTGAAAGCCCGTGGAAGTGCCAAGAACTGCCTGGTAAAAGAATTCTGGAAAAACTGTTCAGACAAATGCACATGAGTTGTTGAGGGGAATCTTGGCCATTTGAAAATCTTGGCCATTTATTCTATGAGAATCACAAAAATCTCTAAGCATTCACAAAACCACTAATAAAATGATTCCTGTGTTATGATAACAGTATTAAAAATCCCAAAACTACGTTATTATGTATGGAAGAAGAGTTGTGAACCCAGATTTGATCATATATCACAAGATTTCTTTTAAAAAATGGAGTGTAGTCTGTCTAAAGCAAAAAAAAAAAAATCATTCTTGAACAACATTGATCGTTTCTGCAATATCTGCAATTATTGTCAAGAATTAAGAGCAACATTCTGAGCAAAGTCCTTTTTTAAAAAAATATTTTAAACATTCTTTGCTTACAGTTACACCGTAGCTTTATGGAGCAACAGAGACAAGAATATTTAACTATCCATTAGGCTGACAAATGAGTGAACACTAAAAAGATGGGCTGCCTTAGCTAAGTCTTAATTTTGCTAAATTAGAAAATTAATGTCACCTTTTCTTCTAAAATAAATGATTCAATCAGATATTTTTTTTCCCTGTGCCTAATGCTTTTCAAATAAATTATCACTTTTGAAGCTGGCTAGTGTGGAGAGAATAATTACAGAGCGATCCATCATTTTCTAAGAATGAGATAACTATATCTAATGTAGGGACTGTTTCTCTCTGTTCAGGTATAAAATTACAATTATTTTAACATTAATTCTTTTAGCACTGTGTTTCTCTTCTCTCTTTAAGGCTCTTGGCTCACAAATGTAGTCGCTAATGCACTGCTAATAACAAATGTTTTTTTTCTCCATTCACACATATCTCTGATACCTTTTCGTATTAGCTTTTTGACCTGACTATTATGCAGTGTCCAAGAGGCTAAACTGCCATATTCAGTTTAGTTCAATTCATTTCCGTCTGCAGAGGAAAAAATAACTTACCCAATCTGCTGGCTGAGTCAGACAATACAACACCCATGGCATTAATATGTCTATAGATACCTTAGTGGTCTCTAGACTACTACTTTTATTGTATGTATGTTTCTTTTAAATAAAATGGGAGAATGAAAAACTTGCTAACTACTAAGGTAAGCATCAACCATCCTCATTTTTCTAAGTACCTTTCTGAGCCCTATAAAAATAAATGGTAAATGCACAGTTACTTGTGAGAGGAGCAACAGATGTTGGGACAGCAACTTCAACCAATTTCCTTTTTGGGAGATAATATTATTAATTGAGTTACCCTTACCTTTACAAACTGCATTAGTGGCAGGATAGCTAGCAGAAAAATAAGAGTTGGCAGAAAAAAGAAGATTGGGCCTGAAAAGACAAATCAGAGGAAGAAGAAATATAGATTTGAAGTTAATCAGCACCAATGAGATGAGAGCAAAAGAAAGATGATCGTAGGAAGAGAAAGGGGGTATTTGAGAAGGAAAAAGGGAGAAGATGAATGACTGAAATGAGCAGGTATCAATGGAATATGAAGAGAAGATATAGTCACCAAAAGAAACAGGACAACTGAAGAGATAAAGAGCCAAAGGAAATTAATCATACCAAATAAATGAATGTTAGATGAACATGAAATATAATCAGTAGCACCAAAGTATATAATTCTACTCTGACGATTGCATATTGGAATTCAGATAGTTAGCTAGAGTCATCTAAAAATAATGGAGATACTGAAATGGGGAGACTTTTTTTGCTTCCATTCCAGCAAGCAGATTCTTTCTTATAGTTACTGTCATTGCTTCACAGGAGTTGCCAGCTTGGTGTATTATTCCTTGTTCCTGACAAGAATCTGAACATATATTCCCCAGCAGGGCATTTCAATCACTTCTACTTGAAAATACAGCTCAAATAGTTTGCCCAAGAGAAAGAAAACAGTCCACGATTCTGCTACATTCTTCTAAAAAAATTCAGTACACAAAACTCAAGCTATTACTACAGCCAAGGCCTCCTTTGGCCTAGGTTCAAAATGGAACACAAATTATATGTTACATTCCTTTCTTTCCAAAATCATGCTTTTTCCATGCTTCTAGAAAATAATATTTTTAAAAAGAGAGAATATTTTGCTCTTCCTCTCAATTTTACATTTATTTTTAACAGCCCACACATGGCCTATTCTGTACAGAATAAAGCATGGCTGAGGCCAGAATATGTTTATAGATACAATAGATATGATAGGCCAAAACGATTCTTCTTCAAAAATGCACATGGACCTAGTTTGCATATTCTGAGAAGAGGGTAGAAGTTACCTCAAGCAAGGCAGCCCATGTGCGCTCAGGGTTAGGCTTAAACAATAAGACACATATCCCATCTCCTAGGTATCTTCTCTGAGATATGATTGCAAAAGCTTATGATGCTCACCCAAAGTGCTGATGCCTACTCA